GAGAAGATCCATTAGGTGGTGTCACTGATGTAGAATTAGAACAGACCCACATGGCACAACCTTGTGTATTTGATATCTTTCATGACTCCCATACTCCAAGCACATCTGAGGAGTGCTTAAGGAGGGGAGAGGAAGAGGGGTAAGGATGGAGAACAAAGGTAGGAAATAAATAAATAGAACTCTCTGTACTTAATGCCCTCAACCCCCCTAAGCTCCTACTCTCTCTTCCTACTCAGCAGCCAGGGGCATCCTGTTAGAACAAGTCAGATCACGCCCCTCCTCTGCTCGGAACCCTCCTTCCACCCTCAGAGGAAACCCAAAGAGCCTACCAAGATCTACAAGCTCTACTGTCTCTGACCCCATCACCTCTGTGGCCTCATCCCCTATCCCTCTCCCCCTCCCTCCTCATGGCGCCTCTAACAGCTGGGCCGGCCCCTACCTCAGGGCCTTTGCACTTGCTGTTCTCTCTGCCTGGAATGTTCTTCCCCCAGGTGTCCAGATATCTGCCTAGTTCACTCTCATCTCCTCCAGGTCTCTGTTCAAAATATCTCCTGGGGGCCAGGCCCATGGAGTAGCAGTGAAGTGCGCGTGCTCTGCTGCTGGTGGCCCAGGTTCGGATCCTGGGCGCGCACCGACGCACTGCTTGTCAGACCATGCTGTGGCGGCATCCCAAATAAAGTGGAGGAAGATCAGCACGGGTATTAGCTCAGGGCCAGTCTTCCTCAGCAAAAAAGAGGAGGATTGGCATGGATGTTAGCTCAGGACTGATCTTCCTCACACACACAAAAAAAATCCCCCCTCGCATCGTGCCCCCCCCCATATTGCTCTCCTTTATCTCTTTATCTGCCTTTCTTTTCAGTATTTATTACCCTCTGATATATCACATATCTATTCGCTTACTTGTTTACTGTCTGTGTCTCCCTCTGTTAGGATGTCAAGTTCATGGAGGCTATCTTGTTCCCTGCCACACCCCTGAGTGCCCAGCACATTCAGACAGTCTCACCTGTGGCACACACAACACACAGAGGGGAGGGCAGGGATCAGGACACCAGCTGGCACCTGGCTCAGCCTACGGGGTCAGGGAGGGCTCCCCGAGGAGGGGACATTGCACCTGAAACCTGAAAGACAGTTCAGAATCACGCAAAGAGAATTGGGGAAGAGTGTGACGAGCAACAGAATTTTTTGACCCATGAACGTTTATTGTACAAACACATGGATGGGAAACAGTACAAAAATGAACGAATGCGGCCACTTTCAAAAACAGTTTAGCAGTTCCTAAGAAGGTGATCAGGATTACCATATGATGCAGCAATTCCACTGCTAAGCACCTACCCAAAAGGACTGTAACATGTCCACACAAAAACTTATACACAAATGTTCACAGCAGTATTATTCATAATAGCCCAAAAGTGGAAACATCCCAAACGCCCACTAACTGATGAATGGATAAAAAAATCCACAGAGTGTGTGTACATCCGGTGTATGTATATGTCCATCCATACCGTGGAATATTATTCAGTCATAAAAAAGAATGAAGTACTGATGCCTGTTACAGCATGGATGAACCATGAAAACACTGTGCTCTCATGGCCACAAGTGCATGACTCCATTCATACGAAATGTCCAGAAAAGGGAAATCTATAGAGACAGAAAGCAGGTTAGTGGTTGCTCTGCTGAGGGGAGAAGGCAATGGGGAGTGACTGCTAATGGGAATGGGGCTTCCTTTTGGGGTGATGAGAATGTTCTGGAATTAGATGGCGGTGATAGTTGCACAGCTTTGCAAATATACTAAAAACAATTGAAACATGCACTTTAAAGGGGTGAATTTTGGGGCCGGCCCAGTGGCGCAGCGGTTAAGTGTGTGCGTTCTGCTGCGGTGGCCTGGGGTTCGGATCCCAGGCATGCACCAACGCACTGCTTGTCAGCCCATGCTGTGGTGGCGTCCCACATACAAAATAGAGGAAGATGGGCACAGATGTTAGTTCAGGGCCAATCTTCCTCAGCAAAAAAGAGGAGAATCGGCAACAGATGTTAGCTCAGGGCTGATCTTCCTCACAAAAAAACAAAAAATAAAACTAAAAGGGTGGGGCCGGCCCCGTGGCTTAGCGGTTAAGTGCTCGCGCTCCGCTACTGGCGGCCCAGGTGCAGATCCCGGGCGCGCACTGATGCACCGCTTCTCTGGCCATGCTGAAGCAGCGTCTCACATACAGCAACTAGAAGGATGTGCAACTATGACATACAACTATCTACTGGGGCTTTGGGGAAAAAAAGGAGGAGGATTGGCAATAGATGTTAGCTCAGAGCCAGTCTTCCTCAGCAAAAAGAGGAGGATTAGCATGGATGTTAGCTCAGGGCTGATCTTCCTCACAAAAATAAAAATTAAAAAAATTAAAAAAAAATAAAATTAAATAAAAGGGTGAATTTCATGGTATGTGAATAGCTCAATCATTAAAAATGAATGAAAGGAGATCTCCCAGACAGAAGGCAGAAAGAAGAGATAAAGAAGGGGACATTTCCACCTCTTTTTCTTCCTACTTCCCTGCCATGACCCAGAGCAGCCGGGGAGGTGAGTGGTTAGGGGCACTAGAAGAGAGGTGGGGGCAGGGATTTAGGAGTGAGGGGATGGGGTGCGGACTGGGGCAGGGACCCTGGGGTCGAGGAAAACAGAGAGAGAGAGTGCTTTGGGGTCTGGCAGTCAGGACTGGTGATCTTGCAGACACAAGGTTGCAGGCTCAGGATGAGATTCTCCCTGCCCCCAGACACACACACTGGGGTCTCAGGACCCACCAGTCCACACTGCACTCCCTCCCTGGGACCTCTCTGCCCCGATCCCCTCACTGCCAGTTGTTTTTGAGGCCCACCCTGAGCGACCTTCAGCCTGTTACTGGCCCCGAGATGAGCAAACATCACAAGCAGCGAAAGCAAACAGCCCTCGCTGACCTTGGAGCTGGAGCAGGGGTCAGAGACCTCCCCCAGGGCTCACCCCACCCCGGGCCCTGCTCCCACCTCCCTCTTGCGCTCCAGGATTCCAGTGGGAGGTGGGGCAGAGGTTGTCCTGGCTTGGCTAGGTAGTGTGAGAGGGCCCGGTTCAAATTCACCACTTGCTGGTTGAGGAGCCATTGGTAAGTGGTCTCACCCCCACCCTGGCAGCCTCAGTTTCCTCATCTGTCAAATGGGAATGATAAAGATGTCCTCTTCATCAGGCTGTTGTGAGTTAATTCAATGAGTTAACGCGCTGAAGCCCTGCCATGGCGCCTGGTGCATAGCGCGTACTCAGCGTGTGCTTAACCAACAGTGGCGACATTGACCAAGGCCCTTTGTAGTGGATCTGGCGCTGCTCACAGCACTTTCCATAAACAATCTCCTTTTACTTACCCAGGGAAAGTAGTCCGTGACTCCCATTCATGGACGAAGAAACAGGCCCAGAGAGGTTAAGCAACTTGCACCAGGTCTCACAGCCGGAGGGATGTGGAGCCAGGCTCTGAACCCCACACAGTGCTGCTTCTCATAACACACTGCATGGTGGATTTTTCCTTTTCTCTTTCTTATTATGGTAAAACACATAATGTTAAGTTTACCATTTTAACCATGTTTAGGCATACAGTTCAGTGACATTAAGTACATTCAGAATGTTGTGCAACCATCACCACTACCTATTTCTGGAACTTTCTCATCTTCCCAAACAGAAACCCTAGGAGGTTTTATTTTGCTGATGACTGTTAGTGAGGAACTCCAGGAAACATTTGCTGAGCCGCTACTGTGTGTCAGAGCCTGTGCTGGGGCCACTGGGAGGGACAACATTCTGCTGGAAGCCTCTGGGCAGGATGGTACTGTCTAGTCATTTAGGTATTGGCCAAGGTGGGGTTGTCAGATAATGTCACATAAAAATACAAGTTTCCCTGGGGCTGGCCTTGTGGCATAGCAGTTAAGTGCGCACACTCGGCTGCTGGAGGCCCGGGTTCGATCCCGGGCACACGCCGACACACCACTTGTCAGGCCATGCTGTGGCGGCGTCCCATATAAAGTGGAGGAAGATGAGCACAGATGTTAGCCCAGGGCCAGTCTTCCTCAGCAAAAAAATAAATAAATAAAAAATTTTAAAAAATACAGGATCCCGGTTAGATCTGAATTCCAGATAAACAACAAATCATTTTTAGTATCATTCTCAAATATTGCATGGAACATACTTATACTAAAAGGAAAAATCTATTATTTATTGAAATTCAAACGTCATTGGGTGACCTGTATTTTATCTGGCAACCCTAGACCAAGGAATCCAGCCAACAGTTCCCTGGCCAAGCGGGGTGCCCTGGCTCATGGCTGGGTTCTCCAAGAGAAAAGGCTCATTTTCCTTCCGTCTAGGGTGGGGCCCAAGCCTGGTGTGGACAACCTCCTACTGTGAGCGCCTGGAGCCTTCCCTCGCAGGGCCTCTCCCAGCCTTCACAGGGACTCTGGGAGGCAGACACTTATCACCATCCCCATTTACAGATGAAAACGTGGAAGCCCAGAGAAGGGAATGTACTTACCCAGCTCACGCGGTGAGTGTGTGTCTGGCCCTGTAGCCCAGCAGCCAAGAGATTTTAGAGATGAAACAGAAATAAACAGCAATGATCTGTGAGCACCTATATTGCCAGGTTATGTGTTAAGAGCTTCCTTGTGTCATTATATTCAATTAAGGAAAGATGGATTGCAGGCCCATTTTACAGAAGAGGAAACTGAGGCCAGAAGAAGGGGCTGTCATGGGAGGCAGAGCCAGGATTTGAACCTGGTTCAGTGCAGGAACCTTCTGTCTTCCCCTGTCAGGCGAGGGTGCTGGGAGGGTAGGAGGGAGGGAGGCCAGCAGGGGCGGGCATGGCCTGATTGTCACCGTCACCTGGGCCCTTCTCTCTGAAGTCTCTGCCAAGGGGCGTGGGGAGGCAGCCAGGGGAGGGCTCTGCTCCGTGAAGCCTCGCCCTCCCTCAGCCCAGAGAGCCGAGCACAGAGGGACAGAGCCCCCAGAAATGTCGCTCCCTGGACGCAGGCCCTGGGCTCTGCCCTCCTTCTGCTTCTATGTTCTGGTCCTGGCCTGGGTTGTGGGTGAGGAGGAGCAGGTGGGTGGGTGTGGGGACTCCACAGTGGCGTGGGGTACGTGACTGTCTGTGTGGGTTTGTACACACTGTGGTATGCAGATGTGTGCACATATCTGGTGTGTGTGAAGTGTGTAACATGGGGTTGGCACAAGTGATAGTGGTCACATACATGCCTTTGTGTTTGTGTAAGCACGAGTATGCAGTTGTCCTAAATGTGTGTCCGTTAACTAGTGTGTGTTTGTGTGCACATGTGGGTCTTTGTGGAGTATGTATGCAAAAGATTTGAGTGTATGGACACGTGTGAGGGTGTCTGTGTGTACTGGTATGTATGTCTGGGTTCTGCATGTGCATTTAGAATTTTTTTTTTGCTGAGGAAGATTGGCCCTGAGCTAACATCTGTGCCCATCTTCCTCTATTTTGTATGTGGGATGCCGCCACATCATGGCTTGATGAGCTGTACGTCGGTCCGCGCCTGAGATTTGAATCTGCGAACCCCAGGCCGCCAAAGTGGAGCATGCAAACTTAACCACTGCGCCACAGGACAGGCCCACACATTTAAAATGCTGACAGGGGGCCGGCCCCGTGGCTTGGTGGTTGGGTGCGCGCGCTTCACTGCTGGCAGTCCAGGTTTGGATCCTGGGCATGCACTGATGCACCGCTTCTCCAGCCATGCTGAGGCCGCGTCCCACATGCAGCAACTAGAAGGATGTGCAACTATGACATAACAACTATCTACTGGGGCTTTGGGGGAAAAATAAATAAATAAAATTAAAAAAATAAAATAAAATAAAATGCTGACATTTATATAATGCCTACAATGTGCAAAGCACCATTTCAAGTGCCTTCTAGGTGTTAACTCTGAATTCTCACAATAACCCTAGGAGGTGGGGCCTATCATTATCCCAATCCACAGAAGGGAGAACTGAGTCTTGAAGAGGTTCAGTCATGGGCCGAGGGCACACCACAGTTCACACGGGTGCCTCTGTCTGTACGCGTACACATGTCCCCGTGTGATAGCTGGTCTCCACAGGTGAGGCTGTGCCCAGGTGGGTGGGTGCTGGAGAGACAGGTGTGTGCCAGGAAGTGAAGTGGGATCCGTGGCAGAATCCCTGGCCCACCAGGAGGAAGGGACAGCACAGCTAAGCCACTCTCCATCACTGGGGGCACAAAGTCCTCCTGTGCCCTCCCTCCACCGCCTGTGGAGGTGGTTCACACAGTGTGAGGGGCACAGTGGGGGTGCAAGAGCAGGTAGAGAAGGAGGCATCAGGAGGAGGATGGGGGGAGAGAGAAGTGGGGTTCAGGCTGAGGGAGAAAACCACAGGCAGACCGAGGGGTGACAGGAGGGGCCAGCGGTGAGAGGACCGGCCGCCCTTAGGCCTCCGAGAGAGTGATGGTGGGCATCGGGGGAGACGGAGGAGGAAGGGCTCTGGGGTCACAGCCCACCCAAGTTGCCCTCTGGTCTCACCTAGCATGCCAGCAGGAAGTGCCTACAGGATCCCCAAGTCCCCCGCCAGGGCGGGCCAGTGGTCTCTGGGGCCTGGTGCGGGGCAAGGTGAAGGAGTTCATGGAGCCGCTGGTGACCAAGACCAGAGAGAGGTGGCGGTGGTTCTGGTGAGTGTGTGCAGAGGGGGCTGGGGGCCTGGACTCCTGGGTCTGGGGGAGGAGGGGCCGGGGCCTGGACTCTTGAATTCCGAGGGAGTGGCAGGGGCTGGGGGTAGGGCTGTGTGCCCTGGGTCTGAGAGGAGTGGCGGGTTGGAGTAGAGAGCAGAGACTCCTGGGTCAGAGGGAGGCAGGTGTACGGGGGCGAAGTCTCGGGGGTAGCTGGGGTCTCAGCTGTGATGTCCCCTCTCCCACAGGGGCCCCTCGGCCTTCCGGGACTTCATGCAGACCTACTATGATGACCACCTGAGGGACCTGCGTCCCCGCGCCCAGGCCTGGCTCCGCAGCTCCAAGGAGAGCCTCCTGAACAAGGCCTACAACATGTGTCCCCAGCTCCTCTGCGGGGACAGGGACCAGGGTTAAACTGTTCACAATAAAGAAATTCTTCTCTGTGTCCCTGTCCCGGGCCCTCCCCAATGCGGCCGGAGATAACCCCAGCCACCCACCCACCCCCAGCAGTTAACGACTAGGGGAAGTGATAGTGGGAAGGGGGGGCACGGTGGGGGTATGCCTCCCTCCCCCAGTCCTGAGACCCACCTTTGTGGGCTTGAGGAGGACGGGAGACTACAGGCTCCTCACTTGGGGACAGAGGGTGAAGGCTGGAGAGCAGGCAGGGTTGGTAGGTGCCCACAGTGACCCCTCATTCAGCGCTCTGCCTTCCCTTCTCACACGATGGAGAGGCCAGACCCACTCCTGGTGGGTGCCCGGAGCCCCCAACCTCTCCACGGCCCCCCACCCAGCCTGCCTCTCTCAAGAGTGAATTTTCAGAGTGGGAGCTGCCTGTGGCTTGACCTCGGGGACGTCACTGCCCTCTCTGCCCCCTCCCCACCCCCTCCGCGGTCCTGTTGGCCAGGACTTTGGCCTAGGCATCGAGGAGGGGGTGGCGGCCATGGAGGGGGTGGATCCGGAGAGCTATAAAGCCTTTCTCCTTTAGAGTGGGTGAGGACAGTCCACCAGAGTCCGGTAAGAGAGGGGCTGAAATCGGGGGGAGGGGTGTCAGCGGGGAGAGGGCAACGATTGCTAAAGCAGAAATTGAAGGAGTCCCCATGTTCGATTCCCAGGCTGGAATCACAGTCCTTAGATTTGAGAATGTTCACCTGTGCTGATCTCCCCCCCGGGTCAGATCTCAACCTCTTCCAACTGCTGGTGCTCATCGACAAAATGTGGATGATCGTACGGGGGGCTGAGCACCGTAGTCACCAAGAGGGCCTCCGCCATAGAGTTGGGGGGAGGATTGAGGGAATGTGGTAGAACAGGGCCTGGTGCAGCGGAAACACGCAGGTCTAAGTGGGGGCTCCTAATTGAGTCTATGGCATGTCCCTGCACCAACTGGGTCTTGGCATAAATGCCACGCTCTGCTGTGGCTTTCCTCACATCCTTCCCCCTCCAGAGCACTTATCACCATGTGACACACTCTATATTTTACTCTTTTAATATTTGTTCATTGTAGTTCTCTCTCACGTCAGCTTCCTAAGGGCCGGGCCACGGCTGTGTTCACAGCTGGGCCCAGAACTGTGTTTGGCATACAGCAGGTGCTCAAGAAATGCTCCTAGAGTGAATGAATGGATGTTAGAATTAAATCAGGAGTAGAATCACAGAATGAGTGGCCGGCCCCATGGGTTAGCGGTGAAGTGCGCGTGCTCCGCTGCTGGTGGCCCAGGTTCCCATTCCCGGCACGCACCGACACACATGCTGTGGCTGTATCCCACATAAAGTGGAGGAAGATGGGCACGGATGTTAGCTCAGGGCCAGTCTTCCTCAGCAAAAGGAGGAGGATTGGCAGATGTTAGCTCAGGGCCGATCTTCCTCACAAAAAAAAAAAAAGAATCATAGAATGTTAGACAGTGAGGCTAAGCCAGCCCATTAGGAACTTGACTCAGGCGGGGAGGGGGGAAGAGGGGAGCCCAGCCCTCCACGCCTGAGTGCAGGGGACCCCAGGAAGAGATGCCTCCAGTGGCCCTGCCCCACACCCGCCTCAGTGTTCCAGGTCTCCCGACACCATGCGCGCCCGATACCTCCTGGCTCTGTTTCTCATCCTCCTGGTATTAGGATTCGGTGAGTGGGGTTGGCAAGGGAGGAAGGTCTGGGAGGAGGGATAAGCTCCAAGCATCTTCCCAGCCCTGTTCTTGCAGGGCCCTACCCCTGCCCCCTCCTCTCCTTCCCTGCCTCATTCTCCCCCTGCTGCAGGCCCTTCAGCTCTCTTACCGCTCTCTCCCCCTGCAGAGGTCCAGGGGGCCCAGGAACATGAGGCCGCCAGCACCACCCTGCTCACCCAGGTGCAGGAATCACTCCTCAGTTACTGGGATTCAGCCAAAGCAGCCGCCCAGGACCTGTACAAGAAGACATACCTGTCCACGATGGATGAGAAACTCAGGTACCACCCGCCCTGCAGGCACCAGGGGGCTGGCCCCCACTTCCTACTGCATCCAGAACCCAGGATTCCAGGCCCCAGCCCCTCCTCCCTCAGCCCCAGGAGTCCAGGCCTCCAG